GAAATTGGACAGATATTATACCTACTATAACAAATCATTCTAACACAATAACAAAATTAAAGCTTTATAGTAATTGTGATTCATCATTCTCATTTGTTAGTTCATTCTCAAATCTACAAGAATTGATGATTTCATTCTTAATTGGAGACCTTAAAGATCTTGAAATATTACAATATGTTAATTTTCCAAAATTACAAATTTTAAAAATTCCTTTTTATAACTGTTCAAAACCGGAATATATAATGAATTTTTTAGAAAATAATGGAAAGAACCTTAAAAAGTTATATATAGGTGAATGTACCAACAAAACTTTAAATTTATCTATTTCTAAGTTTTGTCCAAACCTTAAAAGCCTTTTCATAATGTTTACAAATGGTGAATTAGATGTACTAAAAACTATACTTATCAGTTGTCAATATTTAGAAAGTATTAAAATTTTATGTGGTAATTATCATTTATCTGAAAAGGAAGTATTAGAAACTGTTGTAAAATATTCACCAAATAATTTTCGTGAATTAAAAATACAACATACAACAAATTCAGATGCATTTCCAAATGATTTAGAATCATTTTTTATTAGTTGGGAAAGAAGAACACCAAAAAAATTACTTTCATTTATGATTATTGATTATAAGGAATATAATTATAATTATGGAAATTTTTGTGAAGTTTTAGAAGTAATAAAAAAATATGTAGATTTAGGTACTATCAAATTTATGACTAAAAGTAAGGAGAAAGAAAGTGAAGAAGAAGAGGAGTTCTATATTTTTTAAATTTTATTAGCTTTTTTTTAGGAAATCTAGGATTTTAGTGATATTTCGTATATTTTAAAATATCGAGATTTGAATAGATTATTGTCAGTATTATTTGTTAAAATGTTTAAAGATTGATGTAAATGGTTTTTATATTTCTTATTTCATTATTTTTTTTTTTTCTATTATAAAATATGATTAAATAAAACTTTTAAATTTGCAAAAAATTGAAATTCTTGGTTTAAGTTTTAAATTTCTTACATGATTTATAGGTAATGATTAATTACTAAATGTTTTTATCGTCAACTATTTTCGAACTGGTGCGATCCGGTGATTTGCTAATCAAAACATAAGATCAGATAAAAATTGAATTTATCGAATTATTTATATTTTCCGTGAATGGATCGCGTGAAAGGCTCATTTTACGGAGTTTTTACAGAAATAACGAATAAAATCTTTTATTAGGGATAAATATAAAATTTTTCGAAAAGCAAAAAAAAATTTATTTAAATCAATATTTTCGTATTTTTTAAATATAACGAAATACAAACTCAAATGGATCGTTAGATACTGTGTGCTTTTTTAAATTCATGTAAAATTTTGATACTCAAATATAGAATTACAAGATTCGAATCTGTCATGAGATTCGAATATACTGATCATTTTTAACACCTTAAAATTATAATGAAATTCTTTATATATAAAAAATAGTTCTAAAACCTCATAATATTTAAATACGAATGTCCATTTGAAATTCAAATATCTCAAATTATATTCAAATTTACATATCAACTATTTTCTGGTACTTTAATACGATTGAAAATGTATATACAGTCTATACATATACCAATTAAAGAAACTAATTTGGTAATTTCGCAAATTTGTGTTATTTCAATATAAATTCACATATGTATGATCATAACATACTATATTTTTAGATATTTTATTTATACTTTCTTTATAATATCATAATAAAGCTATTTATAAGTGTATATATAATAAAATTCGTATAAAATCATTTATTCACATTAAATGCAATATTACAATTCTGAAAAACATTTACATGGAGAATTTTTTTTAATTGTCTCATATATATATATATATATTAAATGTTATACGGTAATAATATTACTTACAAGGGGTAATATCACTTATTTTGTATGATTGGTTACTAATTTTACCACTGACGTGGCAAAATTAGAACAAATCATACATTGACCTATACTAAAATAAGTGATATTGCTCCTCCCCTATACATAATATATAATTATAGGTGCCGTCGCCCGTCGGAATTGCCGAATTGAAATTACGGTATCAACAACATATGGATTTTACCATTTAAATATTTAACGTTAACAAATCATCGAGACCAGCATTATAGATTTACGGATTACAAATTATCTACGGCATAACCAGAAAAAAATATTTACTTACTTTGTGTAATTTTTGTATTTTTGACATTAAATAATTACGACATTACGGCGATTTAATATATCACAGTATAAGCTTCATATGCCGTAATTAATTCCGAAGTTTGGTAATTTGTCTATCGTAAATACTAAATTTGTAAATCATACTATTATATATCAAATATTTTCATATATTTAAATGGAGCTTTAAGATTTATCCTCTAAAAAAAATTAAAATTTTAAGTTGGAATAATAGGTTATTTTTAAGAAAAATACATGGAATCACTTGGAATTGAAAATAGAATTCTCAAATTTAAAGAAAACTTTAAAATATAATAAACTTTCTGAAACATAAATTTTAAATATAGAAGGTAATGACAGAAAAATTTTTAGATAATAAAAAATATATTATAATGAATAATAGATACAAGAATGCATAAAATACTATGTCATAAATGTGATTACTAAAATTGTTAATATAAAAGAATTAAGTTTATAAAATATAAATGACTATATTATATTATAACTTATTTACAAATTAATTATAAAGATTTACAATAATCTGTATAATGATAATGAAATATGCCGATAAGGAATTTTTTTGTGAACCCTGTATTATATAAAAGAAAATTTCTTAACGAAATTCTTGATCATCAGCTGATCTTTTATTTGGGCCAAATTAAAATAAGTTTTGTCGATCGCTGCTGTGCGAATGTAACACATTTATAATGTCGCATTTGTAAAAAAAAAAATAAAAAATAAAAAATCAATTCCTTTTTATTCGCTTTTATTATCTAAATATGGAAGAATTTTTGCTCAGTGATGATGTAATTGAACAAATAAAAAATTTTAACTATCAGAAATTAACGGATGATCAAAGTTTGTTAATTGATAAGCTAATATTAAATGAAGAATTAAAAACACGTTATAAATCTCATGGTTTATGTAATGGATGTAAGCAGCCTAAAGCTTATAATTCTTGGTGTCAATGTAAATTTCAACAAAATTTCAAAAATTGGACTAGTGGAAATGATGAAGTTGACCAGTTTATTCAAAAAGCGCAACTTAAAGCTAATAAAGACAGGGAAATTTTAGAATGGATTGAATATGATAGATTTGATAATGTTGAATATCTGACAAAAGGAGGATTTGGAACTATTTATAAAGCAATTTGGAAAGATGGATGTATAGAAGAATGGGATTCTAAAAATAATCAATGGAAAAGACTTAAATATAGTGACGAGAAGAATAAAAATTTTCCAGTTGTCTTAAAATCTTTGCATAACTCTCAAAACATTACAATTATACTTGCCGCCCATATAAATGGGATTGGGAGAATCCCATATCCCATCCCACCCATATCCCATCCCATATCCCATTTATCCCATCCCATTTGTCATAATCCCATTCCAATCCCAAATCCCATTCCCATTCCAATCCCATATCCCATATCCCATCCCATATCCCATTAATCTTATACATGTATATTGTGTAACCTTACTCCCATTGGTCTATCTATCACGTGATGTTACACAAAATTCCAAAAAAGGAAATTTTTCTTCCCACAAAAAATGGGAGATTTGGTTTCACAAGCATTCCGAAAAAGGAAATTTTTATGCCGATCATATAATTCCGGCCAGAATTACAGCTCTAGTATTACGGTCCTTTTTCAAATTAGTTTTTTGCGATTTTCTCAATATCCAGTGATCCAATTTTGATAAACTTTTTTTTAATTTGTAGCTAATATTAAGC